GGGCTTACCGTAGTCAAATGCTGCTGTATTGGGCATCATCCTGGACATATTTTACAGAATTTTTTCCTCTCCAGAATCTATCATACATCTCTATAAGACTACTATTCATCCATGCTTATAGTATTGCTGCCACAATTTATTCCTGCTATTTACTTTGAGCTCCTTGATAAAATCCAAAGAATAATCAGCAATATAATCAGTCCTGATCTGGCAGCTCGGCTTCAGTCACTTTTCATACCGCCGTAAGGTTGCTTCCCTGTGATTTTTCTACAGATCTTTTCATGGTCATTATTCGGATGAGATCTTCGCTATGGTACCTAGATTTTTGAATTTAAGCACAACACTAGACTGGTGTCAAGATCTTATCAATTTACAGTCGAGCTGGCTAGATGTAGCCGTAAGTTCTAAGCTAACAGTTTCTTCTCTCGTACTTCTCGTTTATGGAACTCTTTTCCTGTTCCATGCTTTCAGGCCAACTTTAATCTGCAAAAATTTAATTGCAATGCCAATTGCTATCTACTGTCCTCCTGATTACTATTTTCTCTTCCTGCTCATTATTAATGTTTCTGTTCCTAATTCTTCCACACCCTGTAACCCCTTGTGTCTTAGTGGCTTTTAGTGGCTCTCTTACTTGTGGAACTCCCTACTTGTGGAACTCCTTTAAATGCCAATCGACTCTCTTTCCTCTTCCCCTGATTTCCAGCCAACTTTAATCGGCAAAAAAAATTTAAATGCAATATCAATCGCTATCTACTGTTCTCCTGATTACTCTTTCCTCTTCCCGCTCATTATTAATGTTTCTGTTCCTAATTCTTCCACACCCTGTAACTCCTTGTGTCTTAGTGGCTTTATTCTCTTACATGTAGAACTCCCTTCTGGTTCCATGCTTTCCAGCCAACTTTAATCTGCAAAAATTTAAATGCAATATCAATCGCTATCTACTGTTCTCCTGATTACTCTTTTCTCTTCCTGCTCATTATTAATGTTTCTGTTCCTAATTCTTCCACACCCTGTAACCCCTTGTGTCTTAGTGGCTTTACTCTCTTACTTGTGGAACTCCCTTCCGACTCCATGATTTCCAGCCAATTTTAATCGGCAAAAATTTAAATGCAATGTCAATCGCTATCTACTGTCCTCCTGATTACTCTTTTCTCTTCCCGCTCATTATTAATGTTTCTGTTCCTAATTCTTCCACACCCTGTAACCCCTTGTGTCTTAGTGGCTTTACTCTCTTACTTGTGGAACTCCCTTCCGACTCCGTGATTTCCAGCCAACTTTAATCGGCAAAAATTTAAATGCAATATCAATCGCTATCTACTGTTCTCCTGATTACTCTTTCCTCTTCCGCTCATTATTAATGTTTCTGTTCCTAATTCTTCCACACCATGTAACCCCTTGTGTCTTAGTGGCTTTTACTCTCTTACTTGTGGAACTCCTTCCGACTCCGTGATTTCCAGCCAACTTTAATCGGCAAAAAATTTAAATGCAATATCAATCGCTATCTACTGTTCTCCTGATTACTCTTTCCTCTTCCCGCTCATTATTAATGTTTCTGTTCCTAATTCTTCCACCCTGTAACCCCTTGTAACCCTTGTGTCTTAGTGGCTTTAATCTCTTAATGCAATATCAATCGCCATGAACTCCTTCCGACCCCGTGATTTCCAGCCAACTTTAATCTGCAAAAAATTTAAAAATTTAAATGCAATATCAATCGTCTATCTACTGTTCTCCTGATTACTTAGTGGCTTTCCTCTTCCCAATATCAATCATTATTAATGTTTCTGTTCCTAATTCTTCCACACCCTGTAACCCCTTGTGTCTTAGTGGCTTTACTCTCTTACTTGTGGAACTCCCTTCCGACTCCGTGATTTCCAGCCAACTTTAATCTGCAAAAATTTAAATGCAATATCAATCGCTATCTACTGTTCTCCTGATTACTCTTTCCTCTTCCCGCTCATTATTAATGTTTCTGTTCCTAATTCTTCCTTACACCCTGTAACCCCTTGTGTCTTAGTGGCTTTAAATGCAATATCTCTCTTCCTGATTACTTGTGGAACTCCTTCCGACCCCGTGATTTCCAGCCAACTTTAATCTGCAAAAATTTAAATGCAATATCAATCGCTATCTACTGTTCTCCTGATTACTCTTTCCCTTTAATCGCTCTTCCCGCTCATTATTAATGTTTCTGTTCCTAATTCTTCCACACCCTGTAACCCCTTGTGTCTTAGTGGCTTTACTCTCTTACTTGTGGAACTCCCTTCCGACTCCGTGATTTCCAGCCAACTTTAATCTGCAAAATTTAAATGCAATATCAATCGCTATCTACTGTTCTCCTGATTACTCTTTCCTCTTCCCGCTCATTATTAATGTTTCTGTTCCTAATTCTTCCACACCCTGTAACCCCTTGTGTCTTAGTGGCTTTACTCTCTTACTTGTGGAACTCCCTTCCGACTCCGTGATTTCCAGCCAACTTTAATCTGCAAAAATTTAAATGCAATATCAATCGCTTATCTACTGTTCTCCTGATTACTCTTTCCTCTTCCCGCTCATTATTAATGTTTCTGTTCCTAATTCTTCCACACCCTGTAACCCCTTGTGTCTTAGTGGCTTTACTCTCTTACTTGTGGAACTCCCTTCCGACTCCGTGATTTCCAGCCAACTTTAATCGGCAAAAATTTAAATGCAATATCAATCGCTATCTACTGTTCTCCTGATTACTCTTTCCTCTTCCCGCTCATTATTAATGTTTCTGTTCCTAATTCTTCCACACCCTGTAACCCCTTGTGTCTTAGTGGCTTTACTCTCTTACTTGTGGAACTCCCTTCCGACTCCGTGATTTCCAGCCAACTTTAATCTGCAAAAATTTAAATGCAATATCAATCGCTATCTACTGTTCTCCTGATTACTCTTTCCTCTTCCCGCTCATTATTAATGTTTCTGTTCCTAATTCTTCCACACCCTGTAACCCCTTGTGTCTTAGTGGCTTTACTCTCTTACTTGTGGAACTCCCTTAAATATCGTAAAAATTATCCTGTGAACAGTCCAACTGGTTATAGAAAACTGATCACAAAACCTCGCTCTCTACACGAGTACAAACGGCATTTTAAGTCCATTTTATTAACAGAACACAACACTTCTGACTTAATCCCATAGACCGAACATTATACAGTGATTATTTCAGATCAAAACTGATTAATCGAAACCCGTTTATCCAACATATTTCTCTTACTCTGGAACTCCCTTCCGACTCCGTGATTTCCCCAACTTTAATCGGCAAAATTTAAATGCAATATCAATCGCTCTACGATGCAGACAATATTTTGCATTCGTGTGGCAGAGTAAAAGAAAACTCTCTCAAAAAGCGATACGATTTATTATATTCTTTAATAATTTCACGTCAAGCAAGGCAATAAAGCCACTAAGACACAAGGGAGGCTACTGAGTGTGAAAAATATAGGAAAAAGAAAAACGTTATTAAGGAGCGAGAACAATAAAAGAAAAAGAATTAAGAAGACAGTCGATAATGATTGACTTTGCATTTAAATTTTTGAAGATCAAAGTTGTCTGGAAAGCAAAAAGCGAGAAGCGCAAGAAAAGAAACCATTAACATAGAACTTACGGTCACATCGAGCCAATTTAAACGTAAAATGATGAGACCTTGCCGCCAATCTAGTACTGCGCTTAAAAGTCGAGGTAACATAGAAGTGGGTTCACCAGAACAATTGCTATGAAAATATTTATAGAAAAAGCACAAGGAAGCTACGTCACGGCAGTATGAAAGGGAATGAAGCCGAGATATTATGTCAGGACCGATTCTTCTTTGGATTTTATCAAGAATCTCTAAATATATAGCAGGAGCACCGGACCATATGTGGCAGCAATATTCAAAGCATGGATGGATTGTAGACTTATAAATATGTAAGATAGATTCTGGAGAGAAACATTGCAGATTCCTCTTTGGATTTTATCAAGAATCTCTAAATATATAGCAGGAGCATCGGACTATATATGACAGCAATATTCAAAGCATTGATGAATGGTAGACTTATAAATATGTAAGATAAATTTAACGAGAAAAAATGTCTAGCACGACACGATGAACCCACTTTCGGAGCAGCAGACCTAGCAATGGATTCAATATAATCTTTCCAATTATTAGGTTTGCTGCTAAGAAGGTTGGTTCACTGTTTCATGCCTGACAATTTTTCTCGTTAGAGACCATTTGAAAATTTATAAATCTACCATTCTTCCATCCACTGAATATAGCTGCCATCATCTCGAGGCCCTCGACAAAATCCAGAGACGGATATACAATGTGACAAGTCCTGATCTGGCATCTCGTCTACAGTCACTTTCTCACAGACGTCATGTGGCTTCCATTTGTCTTTTCTACAAATATTTTAATGGCAAATGCTCTGACAAGCTACTTTCACTGGTACCCCAACTTCATGAATTTAAGCGTGCTACTAGGTTGGCATCTCGGTCCCACCCTTTCACTGTCGAAATGGTTAAATGTAACCGCCACTTCTATTCCTGCAGCTTCTTCTCTTGCACTTCCCGACAGTAGAATTCCCTTCCTCTTACTTGTTTCCCTGATAGCTATAATCTTCAAATATTCACATGTAATGTCAATCGACATCTTCTGATCCTGATCTCCGTCTTTTTCTATATCCTTTCCTCAACACCCCTCTTTACTCTTGCTCTCACTCTCTGTAACCCCTTGCGTGTTAGTGGTGCTCCTGTCTTGCTTGGGGCAAAATGCTTTATACATTTTTTTTCATAGATTTAAATATTTAAGTAAATGCTCTGTTTATAATGAACAGTATTAAACAACATTTTCCGGCCTGAATATCCGAGAAATTGTCATAGAAATATGCGTCCTCCGACAGGAATCGAACCTGTATCCTATACGGAACCGTCATATAATCTGACGTGCTTTTACCGATTTCGCCACAGAGGAGCGTTTGGTTAGCAATGTCGAATTTTATAGGATACAGGTTATGGAAAACGTAAGTCCAAAGATAAAGCCCTTGGAAACGCCTGCAATTATGCAGGAAGATCTAGAAGAGTGGCCATTCAAGACAACTTGCATTTCGCGAGAAAGTTTGAATCTATTAAAAAATTTCGTCCCAAAATACTTTAACTCGTGAAGAAGACAAGTATGCCAAACCTTGTCAAATGCCTTCGAGATGTCCTAAATTTAATTAAGGCCTCCATAATATATTGTTTTTAAAAAACGTTAAAGGTCATTCGGCTCAAAGAGCTGTTTGAAATGCTAGGACAACTTTATTTATTTGGAAAAAAATGTTATAATAATCAAGAAATTATAGTGGGAGCAAACAGCTTGTAGACGGATAGAAAATGAATTGAGTAGCTGAAGAAAAATAGAAAGGGGCATGAGACAAGGATGCAGCATCTCTCCAGATTTATTCAACCTCTACAGCGAAGCTCTCCTGAGCGAGCTGGCGACCGGGATTTTATAAAAGCGGGCATAATCTTAACAATAAAAGATACTCAAATGTCACAGACATGGAAAAAAAATACAGGAACTCCTAGACAGGGTAGTAGAAGAGAGCGAGAAAAAAGGACTCACCATGAAAATATGGGGCGTCTATTTCAAATACGAAGTATCCACTAAAAATAACACTTGAAGTAATAAAAACTCCGGATTAAAAATAAATCCATTAATTCTTTTGAAATTGCTTTATTTACGTTTCGGATACGAAGCTCAGCAGATATGAAACTCCGAGGAAAATAATCTTAGTGAAGAGGATGTGCTTTCCATATAAAAGGAAACAGGACGTTGCTTGCAGTGACGTTCTTCGTGGCTGAGTGGTAAAGCACACTGGTTTCCTCTACAAAGTTTTCTTTACTGAGATTTCTCGATAGACGTAATACACAATGTAAAGTCTGTTCCAATAACTCGGACCAATTTTAATGTGAATTAAGTTTAAGCGTCTAATAATTTTTTCTTTTTCTTTCGGATTTGTCGGATATTTGGGCGATATTATTTTTCACACATAATTGCCATGACTTAAATAACATGATCCAATAGAGAAATAAATACATTTTCAACAATAACACTGATTTATTTACTGCTGATTTTGATCCGTTTTAATGAAACACCCATATATATAATCCATCTTAATGAAACACCATTTATAATGAAAATACCGTTCCAAGTAATAAAAATATTGGATTAAAAATGAATCCATTAACTCTTCGGAATAAGAACTCCGAGATCGAACTCGAGTTTAATTCGTTACATTTACAGGTAAGTATTGGGGGCTGCATATTCTTTGTGCTCTTAAATAGAATACTATAATTATCCCAGACTTTCTCCTGTTACTGTGGTGGGAATAAAAATTTAACTGAAGAAGAAATCTACATCGAAAACACTTTCAATAACTTCCAATATCCTCATTATTTCATCTACAGTGCTAAGAGAAAAGCATACAAAATATACAACCGCCAAGAGATGACATTATTAACAACAACAGCAACAATCACAATAAACTAGATAAAAAATAGATATATAATACTAAATCCTTAACATCTACTTTCCAAAACAATTTATTCAATTTTAACAATATCGACATAATTACAATATCATCCAAAATTATTATAGATATTGTTGTAGCCTTGTTAGAGCCAGAAATAAAGACACAAAAAGAGGAATTGAGTCAAACAAATATATTAACAGAAACAATAATACAAACATATACAAACGAGAGTGATACATCAAGAATGTTCAGTCCGACTGCCAGAGCTGACTGCTGGAAACTTACCTCTTCAAAAGGCAGTACCTGATCCTATTTATAGCTAGGAGAGTCCATGCGTGCGTGGGTAAATTACCATACCAAATATGATTATAATCCAAAATACCCATAACAATGATAATTCTGAAACATTCTAATTTTGAAGAATTCTATGAAATAAACCGTGACAACTGCACAATACATTGGGGAAACTTGCAGAAACAATAAAACGTATCTATGAACACAAAAAGGACCTTATACACAAGAATTTATCAAATGCATTAGTCAGGCATAGAAATAAATTCAACCAGAATTTTTTACCTAAAGAATTTTACACTTATTAAAAGAGAAAGTAATTTAGACAGAAAATTCTCGAGAGTGGCGCTATCGAATCTTATCAAAATGTAAATCTAAGACCTGGATTTTTTTCAATGTCTCCATTCCTGAAAAAATTACTACTTTCCCCAGCCAAATATATATAACTACAAAAAATGTAAAAAATGAGAAAGGGAACAATTAAATTCGCAATCACATGTTATTAAAAATATATATATATATAATACAAATTTATCCAATAATAAATAATTTAAATATTAATTGCATAAAAATATTCAACATCATTTACTCACTTTTCTATATTAGGCAATAAATTACGTCACTTATCGTCTTCCATAATTTATCTTGACTTTTCAGCTAAACTGATGAATATTTATGAAGATTTTTTAAATTTAGAATTTTTGAATAAGTAACGTTTTACTTTTGTTTATAAATATGTATTGCAAAATAAAATCCTTACATTTGCCTTGATAAAATCCTTCAGAGGACGAAATGTGTCAGGTAAGATAAGTTTTCCTTTTGTTTCTATTCACATATATATATATACATAGATGTATGTATATATATATGCGCTTGCCTATGTATATATATATATATATATATATATATATATATATATATATATATATATATATATATGTAGTAGCTTATTTTGATGTAGAAATTTCGATGCAAAATGACCGTTATTTGTGATTCAAGACGTAACGTTGGATTAAATGCATTAACAAGGAAAAATAGAAAAATACATAATTTTTGCCTCATATGCCTAATGCATTACCTACCTTAGTCTGTTCACATATCTATCTATCTCTCTCTCTCTCTCTCTCTCTCTATATATATATATATATATATATATATATATATATATATATATATATCTGTCTTTTCATATCTATCGCAGTCGGTTTATATCTATCTATCTATCTATCTATCTATCTATCTATCTCATTTATATCTCAGTCAGTTCATATCTATCTATCTATCTATCTCATTTATATCTCAGTCAGTTCATATCTATCTATCTAACTATCTATCTATCTATCTCATTTATATCTCAGTCAGTTCATATCTATCTATCTATCTATCTATCTATCTATCTATCTATCTATCTCAACAACACTGCGGTTCATCAACACTTATACGCTTCAATGATTCTGTGCACCCATTTCACGCCTGACAGATTCCTAGTTCGTTTTCGTCAATCTCATCAGCCAATTATGGACCTTGTTAGTCCAAAGGCCGCAGGGTGAATGTAGCAAGAGAAAAAAATTAATGACCGATCAAGAAATCACTCTTCAGTATAATTCGAAGCCAACCAATTTATGCCGCGATATTTTGAGTTATGAGACAGAAAAAAAATAACAACTTCATAATCTTCAACTTTTGTACGACTCTTCGTCTGTGTAGCATTGTCGGTATATACTCTGTGGCGCGCTCGGGAACCACGATTGTCGCTTCGCAGTGGACGGCTGTCTTCAGGCCAATACTGCAAAGTTGTACCATCACAATTTCTCACTGAAAGTCTAAAGCGGAAGGTTTGCCTTTGATAATAAATGGCACAATGGGTGAGGGTCAAAGATTATTGTCCCCAGCAAGGAAATATTGCTGACCATTCCTCATCAATGGAGAGAGCAAAGTCAGTGAGAGAACCTCTATATTCCAAACATTTTTCCATCCTTTTGCTATCGAGACAAAAACCTCGCTAAATAGTTGGAAGAAGGAACTCGTTTGCTTGTTTTCGTTTCTAAAGGAATTTTCCTATCTCTTAATACTTTGCTTAGTTTCTAAAATTCATCTTTCACAATTCCCATGCTCCTTAGGATCTCTGTGTCATAAAGTTTGTTTTTGTTTCTAATAAAATTTTCATATTTCTTAATACTTTCTGTGTCATACTGTTTGTTTTTTTTCTAATGAAATTTTTCCATCTCTTAATACTTTGCTTAGTTTCTAACAGACATCTTTCACTATTCCCCACTACCTTAGGATTTCTGTGTCATATGTTTTGTTTTTGTTTCATATGAAATTTTCCTATCTCTTAATACTTTGCTTAGTTTCTGGAGAGCATATTTTAATATTCCTATTTAACTTCAAATGTATGTGTCATATTTTTCGTTGTCTGTTTCTGCATTACCCAGACAGTTGATTTTCTGGATCCACTTCATTTTTGACGCCCTCTATATCTAATTCTTATTTGTCCTTTCTTCTTGCTTTCCACGATTACCTTGTCTACGTGTCCATCTCATAACAGCGAAGGTGACGCGCATGAATGTTGTTTTGCTAAAACTTAGAGAATCATTGAATCATCTTGTCTTGGAATGGTTCACTTCATTGAAATCTATCTCTCGGAATATCAAAGAGAGACTGACACAACTTCCTGGAACTTCGAACACATCCTTTATTTGATTATACAAAAGCGAATAGGAATACAAAAGCGAATAGGAATGTAAAACCGAATAGGAATACAAAAGCGAATAGGAATATAAAAACAGGAGGAATGTAAAAGCGAATAGGAATGTAAAAGCGAATAGGAATACAAAAGCGAATAGGAATGCAAAAGCGAATATGAATACAAAAGCGAATAGGAATGCAAAAGCGAATAGGAATACAAAAGCGAATAGGAATGTAAAAGCGAATAGGAATACAAAAGCGAATAGGAATGTAAAAATCGAATAGGAATGTAAAAGCGAATAGGAATACAAAATCGAATAGGAATGTAAAAGCGAATATGAATACAAAAGTGAATAGGAATGTAAAAGCGAATAGGAATGTAAAAGCGAATAGGAATACAAAAGCGAATAGGAATACAAAAGCGAATAGGAATGTAAAAGCGAATAGGAATACAAAAGCGAATAGGAATATAAAACAGGAGGAATGTAAAAAGCGAATAGTAAAAAGCGAATAGGAATACAAAAGCGAATAGGAATGCAAAAGCGAATAGGAATATACAAAAGCGAATAGGAATGTAAAAGCGAATAGGAATACAAAAGAATAATAAAAGGAATAATACAAAAGCGAATAGGAATAGTAAAAAAATCGAATAGGAATGTAAAAGCGAATAGGAAATGTAAAAGCGAATAGGAATACAAAATTGAATAGGAATGTAAAAGGAATAGGAATAAAAAGCGAATATGAATACAAAAGCGAATAAACAAAAAAGCGAATAGTGTAAAAATCGAATAGGAAAGTAAAAGGAATAGGAATACAAAATCGAATAGGAATGTAAAAGCGAATAGGAATGTAAAAGCGAATAGGAATAGGAAAAAAGCGAATAGGAATACAAAAGCGAATAGGAATAAAAGAATAGGAATACAAAAGTGAATAGGAATGTAAAAATCGAATAGGAATGAAAAGAGAATAGGAATACAAAAGCGAATAGGAATAAAGGCGAATATAATAAAAAGCGAATAGGAATACAAAAGCGAATAGGAATGTAAAAGGAATAGGAATACAAAATCGAATAGGAATACAATAGAATAGGAATGTAAAAGGAATAGGAAATGAATAGGAATAGGAAAAGCGAATAGGAATACAAAAGTGAATAGGAATGTAAAAAGCGAATAGGAATGTAAAAAGCGAATAGGAATACAAAAGCGAATAGGAATACAAAAATCGAATAGGAATGTAAAAGAAATAGGAATACAAAAGCGAATAGGAATGTAAAAATACAAAAGAATAGGATAAAAGCGAATAGGAATGTAAAAGGAATAGGAATACAAAAGCGAATAGGAATACAAAAGCGAATAGGAATACAAAAGCGAATAGGAATACAAAAGCGAATAGGAATACAAAAAGAATAGGAATGTAAAAGAGAATAGGAATACAAAATCGAATAGGAATGTAAAAGGAATAAATACAAAAGTGAATAGGAATAGGAATAAAAAGCGAATAGGAATGTAAAAGCGAATGTAAAAAGCGAATAGGAATGTAAAAGCGAATAGGAATACAAAAGCGAATAGGAATGTAAAAATCGAATAGGAATGTAAAGAGAATAGGAATACAAAATCGAATAGGAAAACAAAATCGAATATGAATACAAAAGTGAATAGGAATATGTAAAAGCGAATAGGAATGTAAAAAATCGAATAGGAATACAAAAGTAGGAATACAAAAGAATAGGAATAAAAGGGAAAACAAAAGCGAATAGGAATGTAAAGGCGAATATGAATACAAAAAATCGAATAGGAATGTAAAAGCGAATAGAATACAAAAAGCGAATAGGAATAAAAAATGTAAAAGAGAATAGGAATACAAAAGCGAATAGGAATGTAAAGGCGAATATGAATACAAAAGTGAATAGGAATGTAAAAGAATAGGAATTTAAAAGAATAGGAATACAAAAGCGAATAGGAATACAAAAGCGAATAAAATACAAAAGGAATAGGAATGTAAAGGCGAATATGAATACAAAAGAATAGGAATGTAAAAGCGAATAGAAATACAAAAGGAATAGGAATAAAAAGCGAATAGGAATGTAAAAATCGAATAGGAATGTAAAAGGAATAGGAATAAAAATCGAATAGGAATGTAAAGGCGAATATGAATACAAAAGTGAATAGGAATGTAAAAGCGAATAGGAATGTAAAAGCGAATAGGAATACAAAAGCGAATAGGAATGTAAAGGCGAATATGAATACAAAAGTGAATAGGAATTTAAAAGCGAATAGGAATACAAAAGCGAATAGGAATACAAAAGCGAATAGGAATGTAAAAAATAGAATACAAAAGCGAATAGGAATGTAAAAATCGAATAGGAATACAAAAAATCGAATAGGAATACAAAATCGAATAGGAATGAATATGAATACAAAAGTGAATAGGAATGTAAAAGCGAATAGAAATAAAAAATCGAACAAAAGGAATAGGAATACAAAAGCGAATATGAATACAAAATCGAATAGGAATGTAAAAGCGAATAGGAATACAAAATCGAATAGGAATGTAAAAGCGAATAGGAATACAAAAGTGAATAGGAATGTAAAAGCGAATAGGAATACAAAAGCGAATAGGAATACAACAGCGATTAGGAATGTAAAATCGAATAGGAATACAAAAACGAATAGGAAAATAAAAGCGAATAGGAATACAAAAGCGAATAGGAATACAAAAGCGAATAGGAATGTAAAAGCGAATAGGAATACAAAAACAAATATTAATGCAAAAGCGAATAGGAATACAAAAACGAACAAGAATAGGAATAGGAATCATTAAGAATTGCATTGTTCAATTCCGATAATAAATTTGAAAGAAATAAATCATTGAACCCACCTGGGTATCTTCTTCTTCTTTTTTTTTTAAAGATTACCAAATAATTAAATCGATTCAATATATATTTTTAGGCACGGTAGAGTAATGGATAGCGGCTCGGATTGAGGAATCGGAGAGTCGAGTTCGAATTACAGTCGAATCCATTACATTCACTTACGTGCTAATACCCTTAGGAAAGGTATGAATCCTATTCTTCTCCCCACTCCCCCAGCTATAGGTAAAAAGCCGTTCTATAGCTCTGGATTGCAACTGGTCTACCGAAGAAAGAAATGACAACCTACTGCGGGAAAAAATCTGCCTCGAAAGATACATGATCGCCTAAGCGTGTATCACGCATGGCACATAACTGATATATTTGTAACGCTATTATGAACACTCGTAGTATGAAATTAGGATTAAAAAAGTTCATGTGAAAACCCCGTATAGAATTGGAGAAGGGTTCAAAAAGTTTAAAAAAATAAAAAAAACGTTAAGGGGAAAAACGTAAATTGAAATATGAAGCGAAGAAAAAAAAGATAAATGTTTTTTTTTCTTTCTAAAAAACGGAAACCTCGAACGGAATGTTGAGTTCAAAATATGGTTTAGAGAAAATATAAAATGAAAAAGAAAATAAGAATTGTTATGAGTCCTCGAAACCGGAGTGTAAACGACCTGGGGTGTGTTTTAAAAATGGATAGAGAATTATTTAGGCCGTGTTGATAAATCTATAAACAAAGAAAATTCTTGCCGTTTGAAAATTTTCAAAGGTACAGAAAATTGCTGTCAGGGAAATCAGAGTTTTGAATAGTTAACTGTTTTGTATTTGAAGGTCATTGACAACCGGGGATCAATTGGATAAAGCCAAAATGGGATTTGAAATCGGTTGTTTTGGAAGAAAACAAAATGAAATTCTATAGAGATAATAATAAGTTGCTGACGGGAAAAATTATTGTTTTGATAAAAACAGTCGATTGTCACAAAGAATGTGGAGACAAACCTTATTGTTTTGGTATAGCTGACCGCTTTGTTTCAGGGTCGGTATCATGTCTCCACGGTTGGATATGATAATTAATTGATGAATGCGTAATGAGCTTTGAGATGCTGTAAAAGTTGGGTGAAATACATATAAACCGAACGCTTAGTCGAAGTCAGCATTTGGAGCGAGAGCGGAGAACCGCTTAAGTACGGACGAACATTCGATCTTCACAGTTCTGTGCCCGAAGAAGAAAATGTGCGGCAGAACAGATGATGTAACGAAGTGGTCAGCGGATAACCATCAGTTGACCGGCGGCAGTACTGACCAGCGTGGGAACAACCCAGAATCGAACCGTTCAGATCGTGTTATAGATTTTTAAGCACCTTTTTTGTAATTTAGCATAATTAACCAGAAAATGATATCAACACCGAATAAAACGATGACGTTGAATGGTTTTAAAAAAAGGACTAATTATTACCCTTGTAATGATCTCGCGACATTGTTTCTACAGGGTGCGATGGATAAATTGTCATCTAAATTAAGCAAAAATGAAAATAACACTGGCATCTCATTTTAACAGATATGCAGGGTGCGATGGATAAACTGTCGTCTAAATGACGCAAAAATGAAAATAACACTGACATTTCATTTTAACAGATACAAAGGGTGCGATGTATAAATTGTCGTCTAAATTAAGCAAAAATAAAAATAACACTGGCATCTCATTTTAACAGATACACAGGATGCGATGGATAAATTGTCGTCTAAATTACGCAAAAATAAAAATAACACTGGCATCTCATTTTAACAGATATACAGGGTGCGATGTATAAATTGTCGTCTAAATTAAGCAAAAACGAAGATAGCACTGACATCTCATTTTAACCGGTATATTTACCAAAATTACACAAAAATATCTTGAAATACTAAAGAGTAAATTTATTCAATAAAATAGCCATTAACTTTAATCATAGCCTCCAGACGAATTTGGAATCTCCTGCCTCTTTTCTGAATGTCTTCCTTGCTTCAGTTGGTGAATGCTGCCATAATCCTTGCTTTCAGTTCATCTTTGGTGTTACAAGGAGTTTTTTGGTCTCTCACTCAACGACGCCCCACGCGTAATAATCAAGGAGGTTGCAGTCTGGGGACTTAGGTGACCAGATATAATGGGAGATGGTGCCACAGAAATTGTCTGACAACCATGACTGGATTCTCCTGCTTGTGTGGCATAGTGCAGAGTCCCGTTGCCAGACATAGTGTCTTCCAGCAGCCACTCTCTTGACCCAGAGCTGCATTAGTGTTGAGTCTCAGGCCCTCACAAAAAAGAAAGATGTTTTTTCTTTCAGAACGATCAAAGTGAGTTTTCCGAGCTGCTGTACTTCGTAATCACCATTAGACTCATCCAAATCTTTTCGAATCCGCTGCACTGTGCGCAGATTGACACGTAGAAACTTTGAAATGTTCTTATTGGAGCTTCCGGTGCGAATGCCAAGCAGTACAGAATGCCGTTTCTAAATTTCTGTCGTGGGGCTCTTTTTCTCAAAGGCGGTACCGAACTGACCCTACCGTAGTGTGCGGTTGACAAAATCAAAAACAAACAACTTGCATGCTCAAAATTAAAAATATAAAACAGCAACATTTCGCTATTGCACCCTGTATAAACGTCAAATTCAAAGACCATCCTTATTTTGTTCTCCCAACACGTTTCTTAGGCAGCAAGAGCCAACACTCCTCGAAGCAGCTGTTAACTGCGGTAGGAAATGGCCTGTAAATTTTAATGGCGCCAAAACAAAACTGCTATCATTTAATTACCACAGAGACCCTTTCCTGCCTTTCATAAGCATGGCTGATGCTAATCCCCAGGGAAGCAACATATTGCGCCTTCTTCATATTACGTCTTCTACTGACATGAAGTGAGCGATTATATTAAATCATTTTGTAGGTCTCATGTTAGGTAATTTGGTCGTGCCAGACAATTTTTCTCCTCGTGTACATTTATAAATCTACCATTCGTCCGCGCATTGAATATTGCTACTATATCATTATCTATCTATCTATCTATCTATCTCAGTCAGTTCATTATCTATCTATCTATCTATCTATCTATCTATCTATCTATCTATCTATCTATCTGTCATATATATGTCACACATTATGAAATGGACAAAGTCCGACAATTATTTTTAAGACATTTTTATGTTTATACATTCTTTTTATAGATACAAATATTTAAGTAAGTCCTCTGTTTATAATAAACAGTATTAAACAACATTTACCGGCCTGAATGTATTTATTATAAAACAGAGCATTTACTTAAATATTTGTATCTATAAAAAGAATGTTAAACATAAAAATGTCTTTAAATAATTGTCGGACTTTGTCTATTTCATAATGTGTGACGTCATTTGTTTACATTTGGATACGCATCGAGCAGATATGAATGTACGTAAGAGATTCATGGAAGATTGAAGTCTAAACACAGTAAATTCGACCTTGCTATCCGAACGCTCTTTCGTGGCCAAATCGGTTAAAGGCACGTCAAACTAAATGACGGTTCCGTATAGGATTCAGGTTCGAATCCTGTCGGAGGACTAATATTTTCATAGAAAACTTCTCGGACATTCAGGCCGGTAAATGTTGTTTAATACTGTTTATTATAAACAGAGCATTTACTTAAATATTTGTATCTATGAAAAGAATGTTAAATATATATATATATATATGCATACGTATGGAAACCTCATCGTGGTGTAATTGTTAGCAAGCTTATCTCGCTAGATCAGTTACGACAGAGTAGTGAGTTCGATCTTCACTGGGTGCCCTATACTTTCGGCTTTGTGCCACATCGCAGCTACGCTTGGAAAAGCACCATATGTGCATCCGTATCGAGTTTCTTTATAAGAGATAAGGACATTTTCTTATTAAACTGTAAGTTGGTGAATTCCCGATAAAAAAAGAAAAACAAATTCGTGTTTGTTTTTCTTTCTTCCCCAGATTTGATGCTGCTTCCGAATAACTGAAAGAGAGACAAAATCTTACGCTACGTCATCTCAACTACTGAGAGCCAATGACATCACTGGCAATAAATATACAAGCAGCTTAAAACAATTTCATCTCATTATATGTATTATTATATTTATGTCCTCCCTATGTGTTTTCGTCCTAATCGTGTCAACATATGTGTAGCGGGAAAACGAACGCAGGTATGACTTAACTAAAGATTTAATTAAATACGTATAAGGGGAGATAATCCATACCAGATTCATCCCCCGGCTGGTTATTTATAGGACAGAAAGTCATTCCACTGACTCTTTCTTATTTTATTATATAGTAAGTAACTGATGCTAGTATCTGGGTTCTAAGGCACTTTCCTGAAGCAACAGGAACCGATTGACGACTTGTTGAAAGCACACGATCATTTTAATGATTAAAAGTCTATTCAACAGTGAACAGTTTCTCATCAGTGAAGATTATGTTTTGCAGCTTGCCATCAAGAATCTGCTTTAGCAATTGCTTACTTCCTTAAAGCCTCTTTTTCATTGTGGCTGCTCTTGCTAATCTTGTAGGGCGGCAACCCTAGATCATTTCGATATATGTCTCCGATGTTCCGGCTTCTTTAGCCAATTTTCTCATTGGCCTTCTTCGATTCACGCCCCGGTCTAATGGCGCTCTGGATGCGCGAAGACGCCCTGGTATCAGTCTATCTTTAATGGAGGAAGCTTCCTTTTATCGATTGATTGTCCTTTTAATAAATATTCTATTGATTCCAAGTTGTTTTCCAGCTGGGGTCAGTTCGTTTTCACGTTGATCAATTATATACTTTCTTTTCATTTCTATAGATATTGTTGCCAGTAAATACTAAAAAAAAGCAAATAGTATACATAAAAAACAATGTAATGACCAAAATTTAATAATATAGCTTGGTCCGAAAGTCTTGTCACCCCATACATTAATATAATCTTCTATTTCAACGCTCTGTGGGGATATCACCAAGGTGAGAGTTTCACATGAACGATACCAGAATCTCCATCAGTTGAAGGCCGCTGTTCGGTGAGCCTTTGCAACAAGCAACAAAGCTCAGCTTCGTAAAATATCACACACGACATGGCGTTGCATCATTCCTTTGTGTTTCCCGAAAATGATGGATGTTCATACAGACCTCGATGTGTGACAGCATCAATAAAAGTGAATAAATTGAACCCAGTACATGTGCTTTGTATTACTGTATTGCTTCTATTGTTCTCGTTACTTTTTAGTAGGGGGTGACACTTTTTTTTTCTTTTTTAAGCGTTTCACTCCAAGCAAGGCGGGAAGCCACTAGGACTCAAGGGGTTACAGAAAATTTGGAGCAAGATCAGATAGGAGTGATAGAAGAAAGGATGAGAAGAAGAGTAGTGGATAGATCAAGGCAACTAGAGATGTCGATTGTAGATGTCGATTGTACAATGAATTTACATAACAAAAACTGGACCCCTTATTAACTTTTCACAGTTTGGAAACGAGGCTTTCGATGTGTGACAGTGTCAATGAAATTGAATAAATTAAATCTAGTACGTGTGCTTTGTATTAGTGTATCATTTGTTCTCATTACTTTTTCGTAAAGGGTGACAAGACTTTCGGAGCGTCCCGCACTTTAAAGAATTAAAGGATTTATTTTAATTCGACATTTTTCATTACTTTCATCTTGAGTAGACACAAGAAAGTAAGTGCGGTATTAAGATAGAAATAGTAAGTATGGAGAAAAGTTCCATCAAGATGGTAAGAAACCACCAAGACATGTGGAAACCCATCAGGATGTAGGACTTCTGCTGGATTGTCTTGAGCGAAATAACGGAGGCAAAGTACAGAGTGGTCCGAAAGTCTTGTCACCCGTTATGTAATATAATTTTCTATTTCAACGCTCTGTGGGAGAATTATCAAGGAAGAGAGTTTCACATGAACGATACCAGAATATTCATCAGTTGAAGGCCGCCGTTCGGAGAGCCTTTGCGACAATCAACAAAGCACAGCTTCGTAAAATATCACACAGGACATGGCACCGCATCATTCCTTTGTGTTTCACGAAAATGATGGATGTTCATGCAGACCTTGTGTGACCGCGTCAATAAAAGTGAATAAATTGAATCCAATACATGTGCTTTGTATTACTGTATTTCTTGTTCTAATTACTTTTTTTTTTTGGTAATAGGTGACAAGACCTTTTGACCACCCTGTACAATTAATTTACATAACAAACTGGACCCCTTATTAAATTTTCTATAGTTTGGAAAAGATGACTTCTCGATGTGTGACAGCGTCAATGAAAGTGAATAAACTGAAGCCAAAACATGTGCTTTGTATTATTGTATTACATTATCTGTTCGTTTTGAAAGACGACTGGTTGAAATTGTGTCATCCTAGCTATTATTTATATATGGCAGTTAAGAATTAGTGTACACAACTTATGACAGTGTTCAATGTTTTGAAAGGATAAATCGATCCCCATAACTTAGCTCTCTATGGAAGAAAGGTAATGTTCTGCATGTGATGGAATCATTCATTTACAAAAACACAATGAAATACTATATATTCATATAGATGTGAAAATATTGTTTTCTTCCAACAACACAAAGACATTCAAAGAATAATGCAAAAAAACATCTTTAGAACTTTCTGTTCTACCCCTTCAGCTATATTCATGGTTGACTGGTTGAAACATATACAAATCTGCTAAGAAAAATCAAGAGCATTATTTGGAGAACTCATGTAATGCTTTACAGAGAACTGAGACCAATGTCTCTTAAGTTCAAACAAGAACGATTACAGTTTGACGGCCACTGGCATCGAGCGGACAGGGATGATGTCGTCTCAGACTTACTCCTATGGCATCCTTCTGGAAGTGTCTTCAAACGAAAGCTGACTTTTCCGGACACCATGGCTCGGGACTGAGTGTTGGACATTAGGGATCTGTGGACGGCAATGCAGGATCAAGCAGTGTGGAAAAAGACTGTCAATGGAGTTCCGATCAACCACAAGGAGGTCGAAAGGTGATGTGATCCCTTTTTGTTCCCATTACTTTTTGGTGGATGACAAGACTTTCGGACCGCCCTATAGAATTCATTTGGAGTTTTTAACATCTATTCCACATCTTATACAAGCAGCTTAAAACAATCACGTTTCTTTATACGTATTATATTTGACCTCCAAGTGCGATTTTTGGTCCCAATTATGTTAACAGCCGTCATAGAAATGTGTTAAGTCCTAAATTATTACTTTATTATTGCGTTAGGATCGGAGAGTAACCCAAGTGCTTATTACCGGAAAATCACGGGTAGGTTTAAACGTAGGGACAGAACTCGGCCGTAAGCCGGGGACTCCCCTGTAATATATACCCGCATGCAAAGACATAAGCAGGCTAAGCGTGAAAGACAGCAAATCAGCCCTTCTTTATAATATAGTTGTTTCGATAGTTAGCTGTTTCGACGACCAGATAAGAGGACAGGCAAAGAAACAGTCATCGTTAGAAAGAGAAACAGGACGTGATATGTTTTGTGCGTTATAAAACAACGGACACTGGCCTTTATAAATAGATATACCGCACATATCCATAAATTAAGTAAGAAAATGAAATGCAGTAGCTTCTCCTTCTATGTGCCGTGTCCCACAATTTCCTGTCATTTGCAGCTCCTAATAAGTTCAAGACGTAGGCGATCATGGCTCTCCACAATTTCCTGTCCTTCGTAGCTCTTAATAATTTTTGTCTTTTTGTTATCTCTCCTAAACCTTGTTCCGCCATCCATTTACTCAAGCTCATTCTTCTTCTTCTTCTTCTTCTTCTTCTTCTTCTTCTTTGTGCCGTATCCCCTCAAGACGTAGGCGATCATGGCTCTCCACAATTTCCTGTCCTTTTTAGCTCTTAATAAATTTTGCCTTTTAGTTATATCTTCTAAACCTTGTTCTGCCATCCATTTACTTAAACTCATTCTTCTTCTTCTGTTTGTCGTATCCTTTTAGGACTTTGATGGTCATGGCTCTCCACGGTGTCTCTTCTACGTCTTAATAAATTTAGTCTTTTTGCTATCTCTCCTAAATCTTGTTCCGCCATCCATTTACTAAAGTTCGCTAGGTAGTTTATGCGTTGTTTTCCTCTGTCCCTCTTGCTTTCAAACTGTCCTGTGAGTATCAAATTTTCCAAGCCATCTTTCCTCATTGTCCTTTTGTTTCCATTTTCTCTAAAATGTCCTTTTTGTTTCCATTTTCTCTAAAACTTCATTGTTGCTCACATGTTCAATCCATGGTATTCTTTTGCTTCTGCAGAACCATATTTCTTTTGCTTCAAGTCTCTTCGTCGGTGAGGAGATTGTCCAGCATTCACTGCCATAAAGGATGCCTGATATTACATAACAATTCAACACCTCTTGTTTCTGTTGCTTCAAGTCTCTTCTTCATCTTTGAGGAGATTGTCTAGCATTCACTGCCATATAGGAGGACTGATATTACATAACAGTTCAGTATTCTTTTCTTTGTTTCTCTTGCTTCAAGTCTCTTCTTCATCTATGAAGAGATTGTCCAGCATTCACTGCCATATAGGAGGACTGATATTACATAACAGTTCAGTACTCCTTTCTTTGTTTCTCTTGCTTCAAGTCTCTTCTTCATCTGTGAGGAGATTGTCCAGCATTCACTGCCATATAGGAGGACTGATATTACATAACAGTTCAGTATTATTTTCTTTGTTTCTCTTGCTTCAAGTCTCTTCTTCATCTTTGAAGATATTATCCAGCATTCACTGCCATATAGGAGGACTGATATTACATAAAATTTCAGTACACTTTTCTTTGTTTCTCTTGCTTCAAGACTCTTCATCTTTGAGGAGATTGTCCGGTATTATCTCCCATATAGGAGGATTGATAAAACAGTTCAGTAGTCTGTCCTTCATTTCTAACGGATTTTTTCTGTTTGTTAATGCTTTGCTTAGCTTTTGGAAGGCATCTTTCGCTATCTCAACGAGCCTCCGAGATTCGGTGTCACAATTTCTGCCCCCTGTTATAACACTTCCCCGATATTTAAATTGTTAAACTTGTTTGATTTCGGCATCTCTGATTTCTAATTTGCATTTTGGGGTGTACCTTTTGCTAACAGCCATGCATTCAGTTTTAACTAGAGACTAAGAACAGAGAAAACTAAGGTGAGGCAAATCAGAGGAATCTAATGCCGACATTTTCCGGCATTTTCGTTCAGAATACAGGAAACAATATAAGCGTTTTTGGCTGAAAGCTAGGGTGTGGCTACAGAGAGACATTCGGTCAACAGATGTTATTATTTATAGCATAGGGTAACGTTTCGATTGAAATCAGCCGTGGTTCTCTGAGAGCATCTCTGTAAGCATCCATTTTGCTGACGTCACTTAACATTTTATTGAACGGCGTATCATTTCAAAGTCTCATATATACACAAAAAGCAAAAAAATTGGGGCCACCCTCCATTTCTTAAAAAAACACACCATAAAATTAGGTATTTTTGTATTGTTTTTAAGTAAAAGATCAAATTTCAATAACTACAGTGTATTTACGTAGGAAAAAAAAACACTTAATTATATAAAATTATCATATTTTGTTTTTGCCAACCCTAACACTAACCGAGTGCCTACTTTAATTACTTCTTTACAAATTCTTGAC